AAAAAGGAATATGGATCATCCGATAAAGTAAAGGAAGCATCATCTGCAAATTGATGCATCAAGTATTCTGAATTATTTACTTTAATACCCTTAATATTAGGATTTACTTTTATTGCTGAACTTAACATTTCTACACATAGGATGAAGATATATGGACTAATAGGGTCGCATTGTCTAACTCCAAGGCATACATTAAAAAAATTGGAGCAGTTTCAATTGTTTATTACACAACATGAATTTTCATTATAGAAAGTTGTTATTCATTGTAAAAGAGAAGGACCAAAGCCATAAACGGAAAGCGTTTTAAAGATAAATTAAACTCTAGAGAGTCGAAGGCTTTCTCAAAATCTTTAAGTAACAATAATCCAGGGATATTTTTTTCAGCATTTTCTATTAAATCATAAATTAGCCTAGTGCATTCTCCAATATATCTTCCTTTCAGGAAGCCTTGTTGTGTTTCACGCATTATACTATTTAAAACTGTTTTAATTCTATTTGAAATAACTGAAGAAACAATTTTGTAGTCAACATTAAGTAAGGTAATAGGCCTCCATTTTTTGTTTACATGTAATTTAGATTTACCTTCTTTTGGAATACATGCTTGATATGCTTGATTAAGTGAATTAATTAAAAACCTATTGATATCTGTCCAAAAAAACTTGTAACATGCTACAGTTAATCCATCTATTCCAGGAGATTTAATATTGTTCATATATTTTAGGGATTTAAGATATTCCTGGTAATTTATTTTTCCTTCTAACTGGTTACTTTGTTCCAGGGACAGTTTATTTATAAAGGGATTGTCATTATCAAAAAAAGTCATTCGATACATTATCATTTGTGTATGAGCTAATATCGAGTGTCTGAAAGATTTTTTTCTGTTTCCTGAAATGTCATGTATATCTGTGATTTCTTCACCAGTTTCTGTTATAAGCTTTAAAATTAACGTTTCTTGATAATGTCGTTTTTCTAAATTGCAAAAAAAAACTGGAACTTCGTTCACCTTCAACTTTTCATCTTGCTTTTGCTCTCAAAACAACTCCTTTAATTTTACTGTCTCTAATCAACTTTAACTCATTTTCTACTTCTTCAATAGCCCCCAATCACTGCCTATCTTCTTCCTGCTGTAATTTTTCCAGTTTTAATTCTAGACCATTTTTCTAATTTATCTCTTTCCCTTTTTTCATATGATGAGTAAGCAATAGTTTTCCCTCTAATCATTAATTTTAAAGCCTCCCATATCAATTTATCACTTATTGAACAGGTAACAGTGAAGTACGAGCTCTGCTAATGTCGCGGAGGGTCGATTTTATAGAAGCAATAACATCAGTTTCTGTTTTTTCATGAGGCGACTTTTGCAGTTTTTCCTCAAGATTTTCATAGACCATCGTCGATCGAGATGTCTCCCATCCCATTACCCAACTAATTTTACATGTGTAAACGAGACGTGTCGATGATAACAGTTTCACAGCCTTGATATTCAATCGTGTTCTGTATCATTCTAATAAAGCTGTCAGTAGCAATCAAACTGACACAAGGTGGTATAGGTCAATTGCTGCTCCGATGTCAACTAAAGCCAATAAAATCAGGAAAAGTAAACAGTATTGTTTCTAACATTTGAAATATAGTCATTAGAATCATAAAAACAGCATGTTTAACAATTTCGTTGTATACGCAGGTAGCCAACCAAAGTGAACATTTTACTCATCAAATGTCCATTCGTCAATTCAGAAAATAAACAATATTCATATCTTTAATATTATAAATCAAACAGAAAACAGCAAAATAGTAAGGTGCCTCTAAAACCCCGATTAAACTTAGAAAAGAAGTAAATTTATTTAACATTAATGTCATGAATTTCCACGAACATGACCCGAGTGATGCAGGATTTTAGCACCCAATGTTCCTATATCGACATGACCCGAGTGATGCAGGAATCGGATTACAGAACACAAGGTCCAATCAGGACATGACCCGAGTGATGCAGGATTACAGCACCCAATGTTCCTATCACGACATGACCCGAGTGATGCAGGAATCGGATTACAGCACCCAAGGTCCTATCAGGACATGACCCGAGTGAGGCAGGAATCGGATTACAGAACACAAGGTCCAACCAGGACATGACCCGAGTGATGCAGGAATCGGATTACAGCACCCAATGTTCCAATCAGGACATGACCCGAGTGATGAAGGAATCAGATTACAGCACCCAAGGTCCTATCAGGACATGACCCGAGTGATGCAGGAATCGGATTACAGAACACAAGGACCTATCAGGATATGACCCGAGTGATGCAAGAATCGGATTACAGCACCCAAGGTCCTATCAGGACATGATCCGAGTGATGCAGGAATCGGATTACAGAACACAAGGTCCTATCAGGACATGACCCGAGTGATGCAGGAATCGGATTACAGCACCCAAGTTCCTATCAGGACATGACCCGAGTGATGCAGGAATCGGATTACAGCACCCAAGTTCCTATCAGGACATGACCCGAGTGATGCAGGAATCGGATTACAGAACACAAGGCCCTATCAGGACATGACCCGAGTGATGCAGGAATCGGATTACAGTACCCAAGGTCCTATCAGGACATGACCCGAGTGATGAAGGAATCGGCTTACAGAACCCAAGGTCCTATCAGGACATGACCCGAGTGATGAAGGAATCGGATTACAGCACCCAATGTCCTATCAGAGTGAAAGGGAACTATATACAAATAGAAAGGCAATTAACAAACACATGTACTTAACGTCCAGTTGTGTTTTCATGACAGTCATCCGGTATCACATATCAACTCTCTATTTCAAGCACATGCCTGGTAAAACTCCGATCATTGATCAAAATGTCATTCGCCTGTTTAGTTCTGTTACTTGGGTGTCAAACCCATTCTTGACGGTCACTGTAATACTGAGCTACATGTACACGCATTGTAAAATTGAACATAATCTAAATCAAATATAAAACATATTCCTTATTTCACACGAGACTTCTGTTTTATTTTTCGTTCTGTTAAATTGATCAACAAATTGTACTACATGTTTATCGCACATATGTGTAAAGAGAAGCGCCCAATGGGGAGATCGATTGCTAAATTGTAAAGTTGTGCGCACCATGTGTGGACGATGTGCGGTCAAACAACCTCATATCCCCTACTTCGGTGTAAGAACTTAGTGTTTCGTTGTTGTGATTAAGAACTTTCAAAAATAAATTGAGACCATTGGCAGATATTTAAGGAAATCAGATGCCAAATATTTTGCTGGCAAAGCATATTGAGTATAAGAAGAAGATAATGCCTCACTTCTTTAGTTCCGTGAACCAAAAGCGCTTTAGAGTAATTTTACAAATTATATAGGGCGCTATATAAATGTTGTATATTAATATATTATTATTACATCAAATGTCATGGAAAAAAGATTATATTTCTGTAATCACATGGCCTCCATAATCTCCAGATTGAAGCCCAATAGGAAATGTGTGGCTTACCATCAAGACAAAGTCTCGACTTTCCCGAGGGCACGGCCGCGAAAACCTCAAACGTCACATTACTTCTGTGTGGAATAATATCCCCCTAATTTATATTTAACAAGTATTTGCTGCTGTTCCTCGGAGATTAATCCATGTGCTGTTCAGAGAGGTCTGATGGCAAAATATAGGAAAGCAAACAAGGACGTAACTAGTTGGATGCCCAGTGTAACAAGTAGCTGACAGCGGCAATTTTGAAAAAGAATTTGACTCAAATTTGGCAGGGTGCTATACTATAAATATTGAATTGCTCTAAAAGCTTTTTATTCATATGGAACTTCAAAGACGGTCTTTATATCTACGTTACATAAAAAACCCATATGAACCGAGGAAAGATTTACATTTAAACCCTCGCAAATAATCAACAAGCACAGGAGAATAAGACCAGGTGTGCCGGAAAAGTAATTCAAGATAATTTAAAAAAAATCAAAAAAAATCAAATTATCTGAATATCAAATTGAAGGACTCAGCTAGGTTTCTGTAACCTGTCCTAATAACGTCATCAATAAATTCAGTCTTATTTGAGACAAAAACAAGCCAGTCGGGATAGGGGCACGGTTGTTCATATTGAAATATTGAAAATCTTACCATCGAACGCAACGTAGATATGTCCAACCAGGAACTCAATTATTCTCTCAATGTCATCCCTTGTATTCTTTTTTTGGCAAATGCTTTGAAAAAATACAACCTTACATCTCTATCCTATTTTGATTTTCTGAAAAAGATAACTAACTTGTAAAAAGAAGGTATTCCTTAAGGTTGGTAGGAGATATAAGTTTTATTTAATTAATGAATATATAAACTTCGGGATTACCGTACCACTGTTCATGAAGTGAGTTATCAAATCCTACTTTTCATACATGTAATACATGATAATTTTAATTGCATATATTAAAATTACACAAAGTGAGATGCTTTTCTGATAAACTCTTCCCACGGAACCTCTTTGTGGCTAGGCCGAAATCAGTTGTAGAGCAAATTCCTAAGTACTCTTGGTGAGGAACACTACGGTCAAGATGCATGTAGAAAGTGGCTATGCTTATCTGTATATGGGACTGTGTTTATATGTGTTGGAATTATTCATGGGCCGATTTGGATCTATTAAAAACACTGAAAACACTATTTCTAAATTGAAGAAAATATAAATAGAAAGATAATCTTGTAGATGTAGCTAGAGTTAAGTAACATACTCAATCAACTGTACATGTATAAACACTTAACCGTATATATGTTATGTCTTAATTTACACCCTCCACGATTGTTGTCGCACAAAGTTCGTCCATCGTTCACACACATGTACGCAAGCAGTTAGCGTCCAGATTATCATCGTTCACACACCGTGTACAAACCGTTTTTACGTGCTAAATATGAAAACATCTAGCGATTGCAATGTTCTCCTTTGTTAAATTAAATCACGAATAAAATATTATATTAAATGAGAGTGCTGTGTAAATGCGCACTTTAATTCTCAATAATCTACATCTGGTATATCTATACTGCCAAGTGGAATATGTGGACGTTGCCGTTTCCGGACACCAGTGATCGTCCTTTGAAGGTGATAATTAAAGGTTCCAACTTCCGGTTTGGTTTGCAATCTTCTCGTATAACGTCTAGTTTCACCGTGTGCGTGAATGTCTGCGGCCAATTGAAGCATGCTTTCATTTTGTGTAGCAATTGGTTTTGTCCCCTTTTCCTGAATATGTCTGATCAGCTTTTTTAATTCTTTGTGTTTTGTTTTTCTCATGTTGTCATTATGATCTTGGAAGTTGTCATTATTGCTAAGCATTTTTTCTTCATATCTCTCTTTTAATCTGGTTAAGAATTGCTCCCTGTTTTCCTCTAATGTTGTTTTGCCCCACGGCGACCTTAATTCAGTAAATGCTAACAAGTGTAGCAGTGTACCCCAACGATGCATGATCATTCCACAGAACTGTATGAGTAGAAGAATCATGAAGAATATGACAAAGGATAGTCCGAGTACATCAACTTTGAGGTATTCCAGGCGTTGATCCTCTCCACCCCATAGCTGGAAAATATTAAAATACGAAAACTCGAATGTATTTAACAACAAAGAACTGAAATTCTAGAGATTAATAACCAAAGCTTTATCAATATAATAGAAAGTTCAAAAACAGATATATTGTTGTTGTAGATGTACATCACGATAACAGTTTAAAAACAATGGTTATTATGCTAAACTCCATTGTCAGGATCTATAATATCACCATGAATAACTTCCCTAGACAAATTACTAGTTAGCGTCCCTCGTTTATATGGTTAACGTGTGTGGTTCATTCGCTACCCCGAAATCATGCTGCAAGTGTCAGGATTTTCTGGATTAATACATACTGTATATTAATAAATCAGAAGCACTGATCACAGTCACCAGGGACAGAATATATGGACTCGTATCTCGTAATTGTCTATGGGTCGAAGAATACCAGTAACGGAACCAACAAACCAGTACCAAGCAATACCCAATCAATTGTAACTTCGGTAATTGTTTTATTGACGTGAACGACATCGTGTAGTTCGGTACAACATAGCAAACACATTATCATCAAATAATAACTTTACCTAATCCTAATCTAGTGTATATGTCTTTATCCGTTTGATGTTATGGTGTCACTGTCTAACTCACGTTAATTGTACGTTATAGGAGCTATCCGTCTAAGTTCAGCGTGTATGTATTACAGTTACAAGGTTTGGAAGTTAAATTACTCCCCCGGACCAAGACGTCTTACCTATAGATGAAAGACAAGTTGTATTCTATGCGTAATCTAACTATAACGAAATTGATAACATCATCTTAAATACTGTTACTTTCACTAAGGGTGATATGAATCAAATAAATGTATTATCTCATGTGTTCTGGAGTTTATTGAAACATCTGGAAGATTTTTACTTAAACTATACTAAAAATATCTTACAATGTGTTTGTATTTGCTATTTTATAACAATACATCTGGTGTAATTGGGAAGGATTGCACTGTGTATATTGACAGTGTCTTTGAAGTGCCTCCAACCAAATACTAGGCTATAATACTAATTGAAGTAAATAGACTATAATAATTGAAATGTTAAAATCTATGATATTCTAGTTATTATTTTCTGTGAACGTCTATTAAATGGTTCTTGTATTCTCCTATTAATTTTAACATATACTACATCTTCTCTATAATACATTCTCTCTATATATATATGTATATATGAATGTATGAAATGTGCGTATTTTCTCTGGAAAAGGCTTTTATAGGCAATGCCTGTGCCTAATCCAATTGTGTTTTTTTTAATACAATACAATTGATTTGAAATGAAAAACGTCTTACCTATATCAAATCTCTAGCTGAAAATCTATAAAACAGTACTCCTGACAAAATGCCGAAGATCGCCACTGTTACTGATCATTGGGTATTAATAACTACTCTTTGTTTTCAACCTTCACTACTGTTCTAGGGCCTCTGCATTTGCACGTGATCATATTCAATTCGATGTAGTTTCCATTATTATTACACCAGTATTATATATACTTTAGATTATAGGTGGACTTTATAATGGACTTTATTTTTTCTCCATCACATGTCTTAGACTCAATTAAAACATCTGCATTTAGATATTTTTGTGTTACTGTGATTTCTCTCCAAGAACAGTCTTGCATGAAACAAGATTCTAATCAAATTCAACGCAATTCATTTTTACAATGTACGTCTTAACGTTACACAACTTTTCAAGACCGGCTGGTCCCTTTCCAATCTACTCATTGTTTGTGTATCAAGTAAAACGTTGATATCACAGCAATAGATATCGTTTACGACAACAATTAACATTTTTGTTTCGTATAAAGTTTATTATTTCAATTAATAATTTTCTGCAAATCATGTATACTCACTGATGGAATAGGAATGGACACCAGCCCAGGACCACGGAGCTGAAACATGAAGTTGACTGCCATCCATACCACATTGATAACAGCTATACCACCACACACCCCGTTGCGTAGGTCAAGCAGCTTTTCATGTGTTTCCTTCTGTATCTTAATGTTGGTATCTAACGGTGCCAGGTACCTATGGGTTACATGTACAATGATGTATCGTTAAAGAGACAACCAAAATAAAAACAAAAACACGGGTACTGCTACGACTGTCTCTACTTGCCAGTCACTAACTTATTACAAGCTAACTGAAAGGCACATAATTTGCAAAGTGAAACAAAGTAGTCGTCACATTTTATTTTTTATTTAGAAGGTATAAGTCTAAGAATATTTTATTCAATTCGTAAGAAATGTTTTTAAAAAACATATGGTAGGTTTGAATGGATATTGATTTCAATATCAAACACAAGAAGCATTTATAATTGAAGAGAAAATAAATTAATTCTTAATTGAATATAGACCTTACAATATTAAGAATAGAAATATCTCGGTGGTGTCATTAAGATGTTAGTTCGCTGAAGTATTTCTCATTCACTATTTATGGAAGAAATATATAGAGAATTGACTTTTTGCTTTTAACATTGTTTTAAGGATTTCAAAAATACGAAGCGATTGTCTGAAGTCTTGCATCTAGAGACTTAAAACAAGATATATGATTTCACCGTTTAAACAAGTACAAGAAAGATGTATGATGTCATTGTGACATTTGTTTTTATTCATATTTCACTTCATGATATACTGTACCATGTACAGATGCATTCACAACTAACCACTTACAACGTTGCTGTTTAATATTTGTGAGATATTTGAAACAAGGAAATAGATAAATTGGTATTCAATAGCCTGTTTATATATCTTAAAAGGAATCTGAATTTGAAATAATATAAGAAATACATTATTAAGGAATGGCGATTTAAGAAAGGAAACGTGTATATTATGACCGATTTGTTTTCCAAATTATTATTCCTACCACCTTTATCAAATATCAGGTTGTATAAGACATCAATATCAATTCAGTGTCTTAAGGTTACACTGGCGATATGATAACCTTGTTTCAAAATTAATATCCCTAAGGTGACATATTTTACCGTGCAATATCAGCTTTTATGGTAAGAATACTGTTTAACTTGGCACCTGCGACTTTGTATTTTCATTCTCATCACACCGAACAATCCATGAGAAGGATTTACTGGGACTTTATAAAATGTAAAGTGAAAATATCTTTCATATTTTCCACTTTTATGTGAAACACTGCAAAACAATCAATTAAAAAAAACAACAACATGTTAGCAAATTCTTAAGCTTAAAACACGACATTCACAAAGTTGACATTTCAGTGTTGAAACATTTTAGAGACAAATATCACAAATAGGTCTTCGTGAGAAAATCTTTGTCCTTACCAAAGTGTCTATTTTTGCATGCACTATGATCGAACAAATGTTTAAGACATTACTTTAAAGGTGTAAAACAAATATGAACAAAACATGGGCATTATGTTTCTTACTTTATTGTCCTATACACGGAAGTTGGTCCTGATCCTACTCCGCCGACACTTGAAAATAGAAAAAATAAGTTTTTTTCTCTTCTTAATTTGACAAATTATATTTTCCGCACTGTTGTTACACCCTTGTCCTCCTTTCCTTCTATTTCTATTTGGCAAAGTATTGGCAGCTCATAACAATATCAGTGTTAAATGGGATTTTGCTATGTTTTGATGAATTATTCATTAAATATTTGATGTGACTTGTATACAATATAGATAAAATATAAACAAAAACAGAAGTAATAAGTAATCTTACTTCTCAATGAACTCCTTCCAGAACTCTTCTTCATGTTGATGTAATGCCATAATATCATTTTGATATCTATCCAGCCATTGAAGTTTTGTCCAATATGGGGTGTTCTGCTTATGTTGGGCATCATGGCTCTCGGTATTGTCGTCACTCTTTGGACACCCATTATCTCGGTTTTCCTCATTGCCATAGTTGTGACTGTTCACATTACCAGTGGTTGGTGACGAAGCGCGAGCACTATCAGTTTTAGTGTTCAGCGAATTCAGTAAATCATCAAACTTTGAACTCAATTCTCTCACTAGTTTGGCTGTTTCGTCTGCCTTGTTCTTTTTCTGACGCCATTCATCGAGAAATGAAAATAGTTCCCGCAGTTGAGCACTCGGGAAGAACCGCGCGAAGAATGAGTTACTCTTTTCCTGCTCAGCCTGTCTTACCTGTTCAGCTTCTTCTTCTAATTCTTTCTTCGACTTGTTGACAACGCTGACCTCACGTGTGCCCCAGGATACTACATGCAGATTGCACAGAGAGTAAATGACCAGGAGCAGGAATCCCATTGGTAGTCCGATAAAATATAGTGTGCCAAACAGCAGACACCCTATATCCATTGGATGGAGAACGCCAGTAAATACGAAGATTAACACTAATCCTACAAGAAATATCACGCTTGGATGAAATGGATTTTCTTCTACTGCAGTCACTATGCATCCCACAAGTACAACAGTCATAATCAGCATATAAAATGCACTGAGGAGTTTTGCCAGAAATAACTGAAACTTCTGCGGAACCCAGAAGCAAAGGAAGAAGAAAAATGTTGCTGGTAAACACGATATTAGATAGGATTGCAACAGGTCAACACTGAACACGGTAAGGATGGCGCCGGCAATCATCATCAGCACTGTTGCTGGTCCGATCATCGTGGAAAGCATCAGCGTTCCTGAAAAACAAGACGAATTTAATTGAGCGAGAAATCCAAATGGTATCTAGCAGTTCAGATATCAATGAATGCTGCATTAAGATGTAAAACCTTAATATATTCAGAAGTCATAGTATTAAAACAGGATTGCCACTTTTTAGAAACGATCAATAAAAAAACGCACATACCCTGATAAAAAACATACAGACGGCTAATATTGTCATTCCGCTTCACAGTTGCATCTGCGTCCTGTAACATGTCCATGATGTTAGCCATAGTGGAGGGCATCCATCTTCTCCGCTGGTTAAAGAACTCATCAAAACCTTCCGGGGCATATGTGTAGGCATCTGCGGCTGCGGCATAGTCAACACGGTAGCCTTGTTTCAGAAGTAGCGTGCACAGCCAACGGTCTTCACCTATGTGTTTAAAGTTTACAGATCAAGTCGTCGTATATCAGAGAACACTTATAAAATCTCAACCATATTTTATGGAAAATAACCTGGTCATTCATGATATCAAACTGGCACAGTAATTTGGAAATACATTATAGAGACCTACTAAACCGCCTTTGACGGAATTGTATTCCTATCCCGTTCTCATATTTGGATGTATGTATTTTAATATTTCCCTTGAACATGCGATAGCGTATCGCCTCTGTTGGACTTGTGTACAGACTCCTACTAGAGGTTGATTTAACCTCTGATAAAACTGTACTTACCCTGGTCGTACATGAGATGATGGATCGCCTCTGATGGGAGTATGGCGTATTTTCGCATGACATTATCGTCCATGAGTGCAGATCCCCTGAACAAGCTGAAACATCCTGGGCTGCACAGGACACACCCTAAGATGTGTTCGGTAGATTTTTGAAGCCAGTGAGCTACTGCATACTCAAACTTTTGATACCAAACCATGGGGCCTAGATGCAAAACAAAATCGTGTCCAGTCTTGGAGTGTTCTTATATTATAAAATAGGTCAATATTTAAGATAATATATGCTGATTCTTTTGTGAACATGTGAATAATGTGCTAATACTGGTATTGTCATTTGTATCCTGCATAATGTTGTATACGTGTACGCTGTACAAGTGTACATATATGTAATGCATTATGGTGTATTAATACCTATTCAAACATTCAGCTTATGTTTGTTGAGAACATTTCGCGATTTCCTGAGTATTGGTACATATTATTTTGATACATATAAAGTGTGTACAATATGGATAAAAACGTAATTTCCTATTTCTTGAGGTTTCCAGCCATTAGAAATCACATTATGTTTGTATATGGTGCTGGGATCAGTTATGATGTTAAAGCAACTAGAACGGTAACAAATATCGCTTTACTAGTTTTATACAGTATAACACCTTACTGTTTTTACGATATGTTTGTGTGTTGATACTTTAAACATCAACGTTAATTATATTTTTCATTCATGTGAATAATTTAGAAAGGCCTTTATACTATATACTAGGTCTTATAAAGAAATGTATGTTTCTATTTAAATTTTAATTAAAAACCAACTTATTAGGTGCCTTTTGTTACCATTGCCAATGGGGTAAATTCTGCCACACGAGGCGCCCACTTTGTGGTTTTTCCTCATCTTGTCCAGCAGCATGCGTACGGCGTCCGGTGCAAAGTCCACGTCACCGTCCAGGGCCAGGATGTACGTGTTTTGAGCCTGGCGTGAAACATTTGATAAAGATACTTGTGTTTCCATCATACAAATGTTTGCAACCATCGCTTCTCAAAAAATATTTGAGAATACTATCTAGTGGTATGATTTGAATGACGATATAGATTACATATGGTTTCTACTGTGACCGGTTGCATGCACGTTGATCATAAGCATAAGATATAAACATCAATAATAAAAAGGGGGACATCAGACGGACGCTTGGCATATATCCCGTGTCATATGAATAACGACGCATGACACCTGACGTAGATTATCTCAACAGAGAACTACACCTGATATAGACTATCTCAACACAGAACTACACCTGATATGGATTATCTCAACACAGAACTACACCTGATATAGACTATCTCAACTCAGAACTACACCCGATATAGACTATCTCAACACAGAACTACACCTGACGTAGACTATCTCAACACAGAACTACACCTGATATAGACTATTTCAACACAGAACTACACCTGATATAGACTATCTCAACAAAGAACTACACCTGATATAGACCATCTCAACACAGAACTACACCTGATATAAACCATCTCAACGCAGAACTACACCTGATATAGACCATCTCAACACAGAACTACACCTGATATAGACTATCTCAACACAGAACTACACCTGATATAGACTATCTCAACACAGAACTACACCTGATATAGACTATCTCAACACAGAACTACACCTGATATAGACTATCTCAACACAGAACTACACCTGATATAGACTATCTCAACACAGAACTACACCTGATATAGACTATCTCAACACAGAACTACACCTGATATAGACTATCTCAACACAGAACTACACCTGATATAGACTATCTCAACACAGAACTACACCTGATATAGACTATCTCAACACAGAACTACACCTGATATAGACTATCTCAACACAGAACTACACCTGATATAGACTATCTCAACACAGAACTACACCTGATATAGACTATCTCAACACAGAACTACACCTGATATAGACTATCTCAACACAGAACTACACCTGATATAGACTATCTCAACACAGAACTACACCTGATATAGACTATCTCAACACAGAACTACACCTGATATAGACTATCTCAACACAGAACTACACCTGATATAGACTATCTCAACACAGAACTACACCTGATATAGACTATCTCAACACAGAACTACACCTGATATAGACTATCTCAACACAGAACTACACCTGATATAGACTATCTCAACACAGAACTACACCTGATATAGACTATCTCAACACAGAACTACACCTGATATAGACTATCTCAACACAGAACTACACCTGATATAGACTATCTCAACACAGAACTACACCTGATATAGACTATCTCAACACAGAACTACACCTGATATAGACTATCTCAACACAGAACTACACCTGATATAGACTATCTCAACACAGAACTACACCTGATATAGACTATCTCAACACAGAACTACACCTGATATAGACTATCTCAACACAGAACTACACCTGATATAGACTATCTCAACACAGAACTACACCTGATATAGACTATCTCAACACAGAACTACACCTGATATAGACTATCTCAACACAGAACTACACCTGATATAGACTATCTCAACACAGAACTACACCTGATATAGACCATCTCAACACAGAACTACACCTGATATAGACTATCTCAACACAGAACTACACCTGATATAGACTATCTCAACACAGAACTACACCTGATATAGACTATCTCAACACAGAACTACACCTGATATAGACTATCTCAACACAGAACTACACCTGATATAGACTATCTCAACACAGAACTACACCTGATATAGACTATCTCAACACAGAACTACACCTGATATAGACTATCTCAACACAGAACTACACCTGATATAGACTATCTCAACACAGAACTACACCTGATATAGACTATCTCAACACAGAACTACACCTGATATAGACTATCTCAACACAGAACTACACCTGATATAGACTATCTCAACACAGAACTACACCTGATATAGACTATCTCAACACAGAACTACACCTGATATAGACTATCTCAACACAGAACTACACCTGATATAGACTATCTCAACACAGAACTACACCTGATATAGACTATCTCAACACAGAACTACACCTGATATAGACTATCTCAACACAGAACTACACCTGATATAGACTATCTCAACACAGAACTACACCTGATATAGACTATCTCAACACAGAACTACACCTGATATAGACTATCTCAACACAGAACTACACCTGATATAGACTATCTCAACACAGAACTACACCTGATATAGACTATCTCAACACAGAACTACACCTGATATAGACTATCTCAACACAGAACTACACCTGATATAGACTATCTCAACACAGAACTACACCTGATATAGACTATCTCAACACAGAACTACACCTGATATAGACTATCTCAACACAGAACTACACCTGATATAGACTATCTCAACACAGAACTACACCTGATATAGACTATCTCAACACAGAACTACACCTGATATAGACTATCTCAACACAGAACTACACCTGATATAGACTATCTCAACACAGAACTACACCTGATATAGACTATCTCAACACAGAACTACACCTGATATAGACTATCTCAACACAGAACTACACCTGATATAGACTATCTCAACACAGAACTACACCTGATATAGACTATCTCAACACAGAACTACACCTGATATAGACTATCTCAACACAGAACTACACCTGATATAGACTATCTCAACACAGAACTACACCTGATATAGACTATCTCAACACAGAACTACACCTGATATAGACTATCTCAACACAGAACTACACCTGATATAGACCATCTCAACACAGAACTACACCTGATATAGACTATCTCAACACAGAACTACACCTGATATAGACTATCTCAACACAGAACTACACCTGATATAGACTATCTCAACACAGAACTACACCTGATATAGACTATCTCAACACAGAACTACACCTGATATAGACTATCTCAACACAGAACTACACCTGATATAGACTATCTCAACACAGAACTACACCTGATATAGACTATCTCAACACAGAACTACACCTGATATAGACTATCTCAACACAGAACTACACCTGATATAGACTATCTCAACACAGAACTACACCTGATATAGACTATCTCAACACAGAACTACACCTGATATAGACTATCTCAACACAGAACTACACCTGATATAGACTATCTCAACACAGAACTACACCTGATATAGACTATCTCAACACAGAACTACACCTGATATAGACTATCTCAACACAGAACTACACCTGATATAGACTATCTCAACACAGAACTACACCTGATATAGACTATCTCAACACAGAACTACACCTGATATAGACTATCTCAACACAGAACTACACCTGATATAGACTATCTCAACACAGAACTACACCTGATATAGACTATCTCAACACAGAACTACACCTGATATAGACTATCTCAACACAGAACTACACCTGATATAGACTATCTCAACACAGAACTACACCTGATATAGACTATCTCAACACAGAACTACACCTGATATAGACTATCTCAACACAGAACTACACCTGATATAGACTATCTCAACACAGAACTACACCTGATATAGACTATCTCAACACAGAACTACACCTGATATAGACTATCTCAACACAGAACTACACCTGATATAGACTATCTCAACACAGAACTACACCTGATATAGACTATCTCAACACAGAACTACACCTGATATAGACTATCTCAACACAGAACTACACCTGATATAGACTATCTCAACACAGAACTACACCTGATATAGACTATCTCAACACAGAACTACACCTGATATAGACTATCTCAACACAGAACTACACCTGATATAGACTATCTCAACACAGAACTACACCTGATATAGACTATCTCAACACAGAACTACACCTGATATAGACTATCTCAACACAGAACTACACCTGATATAGACTATCTCAACACAGAACTACACCTGATATAGACTATCTCAACACAGAACTACACCTGATATAGACTATCTCAACACAGAACTACACCTGATATAGACTATCTCAACACAGAACTACACCTGATATAGACTATCTCAACACAGAACTACACCTGATATAGACTATCTCAACACAGAACTACACCTGATATAGACTATCTCAACACAGAACTACACCTGATATAGACTATCTCAACACAGAACTACACCTGATATAGACTATCTCAACACAGAACTACACCTGATATAGACTATCTCAACACAGAACTACACCTGATATAGACTATCTCAACACAGAACTACACCTGATATAGACTATCTCAACACAGAACTACACCTGATATAGACTATCTCAACACAGAACTACACCTGATATAGACTATCTCAACACAGAACTACACCTGATATAGACTATCTCAACACAGAACTACACCTGATATAGACTATCTCAACACAGAACTACACCTGATATAGACTATCTCAACACAGAACTACACCTGATATAGACTATCTCAACACAGAACTACACCTGATATAGACTATCTCAACACAGAACTACACCTGATATAGACTATCTCAACACAGAACTACACCTGATATAGACTATCTCAACACAGAACTACACCTGATATAGACCATCTCAACACAGAACTACACCTGACGTAGACTATCTCAACACAGAACTACACCTGATATAGACTATCCAACACAGAATTACACCTGATATAGACTATCTCAACACAGAACTACACCTGATATAAACTAGCTCAACACAGAACTACACTTGATAAAGACTATCACAACACTAGATAAAGACTATCTCAAGACAGAACTACACCTGATATATACATGTACTATCTCAACACAGAACTACACCTGATATAGACTATCTCAACACAGAACTACACTTGATAAAGACTATCACAACACTAGATAAAGACTATCTCAAGGCAGAACTACACCTGATATATACTATCCAACACAGAATTACACCTGATATAGACTCTCAACACAGAACTACACCTTATATAAACTATCTCACCACAGAACTACACCTGATATAAACTATCTCAACACAGAACTACTCCTGATATAGACTATCTCAACACAGTACTACACCTGACGTAGACTATCTCGACACAGAACTACACCTGATATAGACTATCCAACACAGAATTACACCTGATATAGACTATCTCAACAAAGAACTACACCTGATATAAACTATCTCAACACAGAACTACACTTGATAAAGACTATCACAACACTTGATATAGACTATCTCACCACAGAACTACACTTGATATAGACCATTTCAACACAGAACTACACCTGGAATAGACTATCACAACAAAAATAACGTCTGTCTTAGAGTATCTCATTACAAAATTACGCAACACACAATGACGCCTAAACTCAACCAGTGTGACTAGTCAGGGTAGTGTACTGATAATCTGATATAGACTATCTCAACACAGAACTACACTTGATAAAGACTATCACAACACTTGATATAGACTATCTCACCACATAACTACACTTGATATAGACCATTTCAACACAGAACTACACCTGGAATAGACTACCACAACAAGAATAACGTCTGTCTTAGAGTATCTCATTACAAAATTACGCAACACACAATGACGCCTAAACTCAACCAGTGTGACTAGTCGGGGTAGTGTACTGATAATCTGATAACGTGACTAGTCGGGGCAGTGTTACTGATAATCTGACAACTCGATCAGTGTGACTAGTCGGGGTAGTGTTACTGTACTGATAATCTAACAACTCGATCAGTGTGACTAATCGGGATAGTGTTACTGATAATCTGATATAGACTATCTCAACACAGAGCTACACCTGATATAGACTATCCCAACACAGACCTACACTTGATAAAGACTATCTCAAGACAGAACTACACCTGATATAGACTATCTCAACAAAGAACTACACCTGATATAGACTATCTCAACACAGAACTACACCTGACGTAGACTATCTCAACACAGAACTACACCTGATATAGACTATCTCAACACAGAACTACACCTGATA